GCCCTCCTTGCTCTGTAATTCTAAGATTACCTAATTCTAAGACATTGTGTTACCTGATTTAGTATTGTATAAATAGTTTCCTGTTTATTTCCAGACACATCATCAGTTGGAACATTTGCATAGGATTTAGTCATTTGGTCAGTAACACAGATGAATGCAAAGCTTAAGAGAGCTTCAAAGAATTCCAGGAAAACCAGCTGAAATAAAAGAAAACACAGAGTTTCCATCATTCGGACACACCTGGAGACAGAGCATTGATGGATTGGTGTTCATTATTTCCTGATATCTGAATACGTACACGTTTGCACACAGACATGCAGACATGTGCACACAGACACACACATGCACAGACACGCACACAGACACACACACACATATATTCTGCACTTGTGTTCAGACTGCTTTCAATCAAATCTTGGTTCTTAGACTGGTCACAGTGGCTCACATCTGTAATCTCAGCACGTTACGAGGCTGAGGCAGGAGGATCGTTTGAGCCCAGTAGTTTGAGACCAGCCTGGGCAACACAGTGAGACCCATTCTGTACAAAAAATTGTTTTTAAAAAATCCGCTGAAGGCCTGGTGTGGTGGCTTACGCCTGTAATCCCAGCACTTTGGGAGGCCAAGGCAGGCAGATCACGAGGTTGGGAAATCGAGACCACCCTGGCTAACATGGTGAAACTCCATCTCTACTAAAAAAAATACCAAAAAAAAGAAAAAATTAGCCAGGAGTGGTGGCGGCGCCTGTAGTCCCAGCTACTCAGGAGGCTGAGACAGGAGAATGGCGTGAACCCAGGACGCAGAGCTTGCAATGAGCCGAGATTGTGCCACTACACTCCAGCCTGGGCGACAAAGCAAGACTCCGTCTCAAAAAAAAAAAAAAAGTGTAAACGAAAAGGCTAATGAAAAAAAGAAAAAAACTCTTGGTTCTTTGTTATTGGTATCCATGGCAAAACCAACGCCTGAATTGGATCTGTACCGTTTGTGACAGCTCTTTACAAACCTCAGGTTCAAAGCTGCTGTCAGTTCCATCATATATGAAAGGATTATCCTCTGCTATGACCTCCATAAATATAGCTGCTGTTAATTCTTTATTTATCATTTTAAAGTCCTGTAAAAAACAAAATCAAACCATAACTGCCTATAATTGTGAACAGCTACATATTTTAATGTCAATTTATATCAATACAATAATTAAGAAAGTGTACCAGAAATTAATATCTTTTTTCTTTT